AAAAAAAAAAAAAAAAAAAAAAAAAAAAAAAAACAATAGACAGCAGATGAAGGAAAGAGCTGGGGGGAAAAGCAAATCTATGTTTAATTTTACTAATTTCTCTTTTGCTGATATGTTTCCAGAAAAAAAATCAATCACATGAAAGTTACATAAGATGGGTGTGATATAAGATTTTTAAAATGTTCATATTAACATATATACTACTTTGTTTTGTGAGGGACTAATAAAATAATTGGTTTCAATGTCTTTTTTTTTTTTAAGAGATGGGGTCTTACTCTGTTGCCACTGAAGGCTCACTGAAGTCCAGTTGTGTAATCACAGATCATCGTAGCCTCAAATCCCTGGGATCAAGTGACCCTCCCCGCTTAGCCTTTCAAGAAGTTGGACTACAGGCACACACCACAACACACAGCTTTTTTCTTTCTTTTACTTTTTTTTTTCTTATAGAGAGTTTCACTATGTTGCCCAGGCTGGTCTCAAACTCCTGGCCTCAAGGGATCCTCCTGCCTCAGCCTCTCAAAGTGCTGAGATTACAGATATAAGCCACCACGCCAGCCAACAGTTTAAATTTCTTAAACAAGATCAACCATTTAAAAGTTTACATCAGTGAAAAACTAAAACATTAGCTTTATTTAAAATACCTGGAAGGTTTCCATTGTGGTCCACATCTTCTGTGCTACAACCCCATTTAACAAGAAGTTGCAAGCAGCCAAGCCGCCCATGAAAAGCTGCATAATGTACAGGTCTCCATTCTCTCTTATCGGTCACACTGGGGTCCTAGAGATAACATTCACAAGGACTCAGTTTTTCTCCATTTTACTGGAAAAACACTAAGCCTATCAGCTTAATTCTGTAAATAAGAATTGGAGGCTGTTCTTAATACAAGATGGCAAACATCTTATATTAATATAACAATAGAATAGAAAAATGTACTGCAACCACTAATTTGAATATATGAGCTAATAAAATACTTGTGAAATTGTATAAAACAGGCTTTTCAAAAGAACAAGTCACATAAAATAGTTTTTAAAAAGGAACTTGTCATCTAACCAGTCACGGATTCCTGACCAATAAAATGAAAGGGATAAACTGAAGTATCAAATAGTATCATTGATAATATAAACAGAGTTAACAAAAATTTTTAATAAGTTTTCACTCTTTCTCAAACTATAGAAACACCAACTCTCACCACAATGTCTTCAATATTTGGAGTTCTCTTCTTCTAAGTTATTTTTTACAACCACTACATAATAAATATTGCAATAAACAAAATTTCTGAAGAAATAAATCGCTTTCTAAATCAGTATATGAGTTACAAAACAAACACATAGGTAGACACACAAAAATTCATAAAGATTTACAATCACCAGGCCGGGCGCGGTGGCTCACGCCTGTAATCCCAGCACTTTGGGAGGCCGAGGCGGGTGGATCACGAGGTCAAGAGATCGAGACCATCCTGGTCAACATGGTGAAACCCCGTCTCTACTAAAAATACAAAAAAAAAATTAGCTGGGCATGGTGGCAGGTGCCTGTAGTCCTGGCTACTCGGGAGGCTGAGGCAGGAGAATTGCCTGAACCCAGGAGGCGGAGGTTGCAGTGAGCCAAGATCACGCCATTGCACTCCAGCCTAGGTAACAAAAGCGAAACACAAAAAAAAAAAAAAAAAAAAAAGATTTACAATCACCTGGTTAAGATTTGTTTGAAGCTTCGTAATCTAACCAGTTAAACTCTGAATTGGCATGAAGAACCCAAAACCTCTAAAGTACTTTGTAATACAAATTGGTTTTCGAGGGGGGATGAGAAGATTTGTCTGAATTATTGCTTCTATGTTTAAAGATAGAAAAGCTAGGGCGAAAAATTAAATTAGTTTCCCAAAGTCACATAAGAGATTTAAAAAGTCAGGAACAGATAACTAGACTACCAAATGCTATTCCATCTATATGATCATACATTAGCACATGTTAACAGGAATCACTCACCACTCCACTTCGGAGCATTATTTGTAGTGTGAAAGAATGTCCATGACTTGCAGCAAGATGTAAAGGAGTGCATCCCCGGTCATCCTGGGCTGTCAGATTTGCTCCATTTATTAGAAGAGCCTAAAAATAGGGAAATAGGAATGACTTTACATGAGTATAGATGTTACACCATAAATGTGGATGCAGATTATACAAAGGCAAGAAATTTATTAATCTATAGCTAAGTTATTATGTATGCTCTTACATATGTGCCACAGGCAAACGATAAGAAATTCTTAGCTAATGCTAAGAAAATGTTTGAGGTCTTTTTTAACATTGCCTAGATGACATTTACAATATTGATTTTCCATTTTGACTTTAGCACGTACATATAATTTATAAGACACATCTTTCACGAACACAGATAAATAGCCACTAAGTTAAATTCTTTAGAGCTAACCTAATAAAACTGAAATTTAAACTTTCACTAATTCAAAAGCAGAATCCTCTGTTAACAGGGTTTTGGACTCAATAAAAGAATTAATTATTAAATGACAAGTTCTAAGTTCCAAATGAAGTTTCTAACTACATCTAAAGAGGTTCTATCTGAATTTGCAATTGGCCCAGTTTCTATATATGGGTTATACCATATACAGAGTAATTGGCTTGAAAGAGTTATTAGTCCCGGCCAGGAGCAGTTGCTTACGCCTGTAATCTGGCAATTTGGCAGGCCAAGGTGGAAGGATCACTTGAGCCCAGGATTTTGAGACTCTTCTTTATACTTTACTATTCCTGTAATCTTTATCTCCAGCCCCCTTTTCAACTGCCTGGAGCTTCTCTAACCAGATGACCTACAGACACTTTAAACTCAAAATTTTTCCTTCTACTCTTCCTTGCTTTTCTGATTTCCCTACTCATTCCATCACAATTATCTGTTACCCTGACTCAAAATTTGAATTTTCACTATATTCTGTCAATGTTTGCTTTGCAAGATGTCTTGGCTCATTTTCTTTCTTTCCCTCTGCTACACCTAATTTTACCCTCTCTAGTTTGTGATTACAGCAAAAAATCTCTAACTGATCTTCTTGTCTTTAAACTCTTCCTTTGTCCTAGTAATCCTGGACACACTTTGCTAGAATAATTCCCTGAAATACTGTTTTCATTATCTCATTCCCCTGTTAACGTCCATGTGGATGTTTTTGTATATTTATGTGTGTGTATAAACATATATACAACACGGTCTCACACACACATATAATGTATATAAAAACTCTCTTTTCTCAGCCAGGTGCAGGGGCACATATTTGTAATCCCAGCATTTTGGGAAGCCAAGGCAGGAGGATCACTTGAGCCCAGGAGTTCAAGATCAGCCTAGAGAATATAGGAAGACCCCCTCTCCCCGGCAACGAACATTAGCCAGGCATGGTGGCGAATGTAAGTGGTCTCAGCTACTTGAGAGGCTGAGGTGGGAGGATCGCTTGGGCCCAGGAGGTTGATGCTTCAGTGAGTCATGACCACAGCACTGCACTCCAGCCAGGGTGACAGAGCAAGACCCTGTCTCGAAAAACAAAAACAAAAACAAAACCTCTCTTTTCTCTCCAGGTATTCACAGAGTTGGTGGGGGGAGAGGAGAAAGGACTCTCTTTCCTATATAAATGAATCCAAAATCTTCATTCTGTTTCTGAGGCAACTTTACAAAACTAGTCTACCAAATCGTAGTTCTTAACAGTCCACACCACAACTCATCTATACTCAGTCAAACTCCTATAATGTTATATCCCCTGAACATATCACGATTTTCCAAGTTAGGAGCTTCTTACAGAAGTATAGCATAGAGATTAATAGGACAAGTCTAGGTACAAATCCTGGCTCTGTCACTTGCTTAAGCAAAATACTTAACACTCTGAATCTGTTTTGTAACCTATAAAAAAGGGAACTCATAGAACTGCTTGTGTTGAATAAAATGAGGAGAGACTGATACATACATGAGAGGCTGATACATGAGAGACTGACTGACACACAATAAATGTTCAGTAAGTGATAATCATTATTTTTATGTGCTACTAACATATTCCTTGCCTCTATAATGCTTCCTCATTATTTACCTCTTTAAAATCAACTCACTCTTTTGGGCTTAGCTGATATTTGATTTCCTCCATTTATGATCCTTCTACCTCCTCCTAAACTAAACAATTCTTCCCATCATATTTTTTCATTAGAACCTTAATCATAGTCTTGGCTTTGTGTTGTTTTGTAACTCACTGAGTAGAGCTCCTGTCCCTTCAAACAGAATCTCAGGCTTCTTCCAGACGTGGACTGTGATGTGGATGGGCTGTGTCCCTACCTCAAATCTCATTTGAATTGTAGTTCCCATAAGCTCCACAGGTCATGGGAGGGACCTGGTGGGAGATAATTGAATCATGGGGGTGATTGCATTCTCACGAGATCTGATGGCCTTGTAAGAAGCTTTTCCCCCTTTGCTCAGCACTTCTCTTTCTCCTGCTACCCTGTGAAGAAGGATGTGTTTGCTTCCCCTTCCACCATGATTCTAAGTTTCCTGAGGCCTTCCCAGCCATGTGGAACTGTGCATCAATTAAACCTTTTTTCTTTAAAAATTACCCAGTCTCAGGTATTTATTCATAGCAGCATGAGAACTAATACCAATGTTTACATATATGACTCTGTATTCCTCCAAATTCCAGTCTATTTTAATATATTGAATAAATATAATTATTCTAACAAACCAGATCCCACCAAATATTAATGTGTCACCTTGGCCAGGCAATATATTACATAAGAAATTTTAGGCATGGCAAGTGTCTTAGTCTGTTCAGACTGCTATAACAAAATATCATAAACTGGGGAGCATATAAACAACAGAAATTTATTTCCCATAGTTCTGGAGGCTGGAAAGTCTAAGATTAAGGTAGCAGCAGATTCTGTGTCTGGTGAGGGCTCGTTCTACATAGATAGTGCCTTCTCACAGCATCCTCATATGGTGGAAGAGGCTAGCAAGCTAGTTCTCTGAGGTCTCCTTCATAAGGGCATTTATCCCATTTATAAGGGCAAATCCCTCATGACCTAATAACCTCCCAAAAGGCACACCTCTTAATACCATCACCTTAGGGTTCATATTTCAACATATTTATTTTGGAGGACACAAACATTCAGACCACAGCAGCAAGCTATAAAAGAGATAATCTGGTCATGACAGTGAGATTTCTCAAAACAACCCAGATAGTCAACTACTTCAAAGATAAAAGAATTTCTGGTTTCATACCATTTGTTTAAGTGGATACTTAGTATCAGAATATCTGAGTTGTGGAATCCAGTAAGCTCTTGTTTAGAACATAAAACTAAATCTATTGGATCAAATAATTAGAATAATAGCAATAGCACAACAGAACTATCTTAAAGTAATTGAACTTACTGAAAAAAATAATAAGTTATTATTACCTGTATACAAGCATCCTGACCCCTGATTGCAGCTATGTGAGATGCTGTCCAGCCTCTTGTTGTTACTTGTGTGATATCAGCTCCATGCCAGAGCAGCCAATGAAGACACTAAGAAAACAACCATGTTAACAAGTGATAAGGTAGATGTTTTTAACATTTTTATCTTTTTTTTCTTTTTAAGACAAAGTCTCACTCTGTCACCCAGGCTGGAGTGTAATGGCGCTATCTGGACTCACTGCAACCTCTGCCTCCTGAGTTCAAGCAATTCTCCTGTCTCAGCCTCCCAAGCAGCTGGGATTACAGGCGCACACTGCCACGCCCCACTAATTTTTATATTTTTAGTAGAGACAGGTTTTCACCATGTTTCCGCAGGCTGGTCTTGAACTCCTGGGCTCAGGCAATCCACTCGTCTCGGCCTCCCAAAGTGCTAGGATTACAGGCATAAGCCACCATGCCTGGACTGACATTTTTATCTTTCAAATTTGGTCTGTTATCATAAAATTCCCACTGTAGCCCAAGAAGTATCGTAAGTGAATGAGAGATCGATGTATGAGAAAAGCAAAAGCACAAGCACATGACAAGCAACATTTGGCCTCACTCCTAGGTAAATAATAGAGACTAGTGGGAACTGTGGCAAACTGGAGACCACATTTCTTGACTGTAAGGTGTAGACACTACTCAATTAAAGTCAGTGGTTGCTATGAGTGAAATGTTGATCCATGTTTGTAAATATTCTGTTTGATCAATACTGTGCAGGCCAAAGAAAACACATCTAAGAGTGAAATTCACTCAAAGGCTGCCAGTTTTCAGTCTTGAACATAGATTTTTTAATGGGTCCAGAGCTTTTGCATCAGAGCAAACATTGTTATTCTAGTGATATTCTAAAAAATAAATGGTTATAGAAAAAGTGAAAGAAGTCAAATGTATCTTTAAGATTTTTAAAAATTAACCTAAATCTCAATATAATACAGTACTTAAAGGTCTGGACCTCATATGGTGTTACTGTCTTTATATGTTCAAGTTTGTATATGCTACCACCTCTTTCTCTTTAAAAGAATTGATCATATCATTAGGATACACTGTCATATAAGTAATAATCATATTATTTGTTAAAAAGGCTTATCAAGTAAATATCATTTGCCTGTCACAGAGTCTAATGACAATAAAATATTTTAAAAACCTCAATCTTAATAATAATCACAGTAAGTCATTCATTTATTCAACAGTATTTATGGAAAGACTATTATGTGTATTGTTCAGGTACTAGAGAATAAAGCCACTGTCAACATTCATGTACTGGTTTTACATTTGTCTTGGGTGAATATGTCCAAGTGAGATTGCTAGGATGTAAAATAAGTATATATTTAACTTTATTTTAAAAACTACCAAACTGTTTTCTGACATGGCTGTAACTATTTACATTCCTGACAGCAATGTATGGGAGTTACAGTTTCTCAACATCCTTGTATTGTCATATTTTTGTTTTTTTTATTTTTCTGCTATTCTTACAGGTATGTACTGGCATCTTACTGTGGTTTTATTTTGCAATTGCTTAATGGCTAATGATGTTGAACATCTTTTCATATGCTTAATTGCCATCCATATGTACTCTTTGAGAAAGTGTCAATTGAAATCTTTTGCCCATTAAAACTTTTTTTTCTTACTGCTGAGTTCTCAGAGTTCCTTATATAATCTGTTTATAAGCTCCTAAGTACATGATTTGCAAAGGTTTTCTTCTCTGTTTTCTCTGTAAGTTTTATAAGTTTTACATTTATTTACAATCTGTTTTGAGTAAATTTTTGCATACAGTGCCAAGTATGGATCAAGGTTCACTGTCTTTTTTTTTTTTTATTTTAGATTCAGAGGGTACATGTGCAATTGTGTTCGTTTCATGGATATATTGCATAATGCTGAGGTTTGGGCTTCTATTGAACCCATCATCCAAATAGTGACCAGGGTACTTAACAGGTAGTTTTTCAACCCTTGCCTCCTTCCATATGTACTTTTGGAATCCCCAGTGTTTATTGCTCCCATCTCTTTGTCTATGTGTACACAATATTTAGGTCCCACTTATAAGTGAGAATATGTGCTTTGGGGTTTTCTGTTGCTGCATTAATTCACTTAGAATAAAAGGTTCATTTTCAGCCAGGCACAGTGGCTCATGCCTGTAATCCTCGCACTTTGGGAGGCCAAGGAGGGCAGATCATGAGGTCAGGAGTTCAAAACCAGCCTGGCCAACATGTGAAACCCCACGTCTACTAAAAATCTAAAAATTAGCTGGGTGTGGTGGTACCCGCCTGTAATCCCAGCTACTCAGGAGGCTGAGGCAGGAGAATTGGTTGAACCCAGGAGGCGGAGGTTGCACTGAGCTGAGATCACACCATTGCACTCCAGCCTGGGCAACAGAGCGAGGTTCTCTTTCAAAAACAAACAAACAAATAAAGGTCATTTTCTTAAATATGAATATGTCTAATTGTGCCAACATCATTTAATGAAAATATATCTGCTCTCCATTGAATTGCAGTTGCATCTTTGCTAAAAATCAGTTGACTGGCTAGGCGCAGTGGTTCACACCTTTAATCTCAGCATTTTGGGAGCCTGTGGCAGGTGCATCATATGAGGACAGGAGTTCAAGACCAGCCTGGCCAACATGGTGAAACACTGTCTCTACTAAAAATACAAAAATTAGCCAGGCGTGGTAGTGGGCGCCTGTAGTCCCAGCTACTCGGGAGGCTGAGGCAGGAGAATTGCTTGAACCCAGGAGGCAGAGGTTGCAGTCAGCTGAGATCATGCCACTATACTCCAGCCTAGGCAAGAGCATCAGACTCCATCTTGAAAAGAGAAAAGAGAGAAGAGAACCAAACCAGATGGAAATTTGGTGTTGAACAGCATATCTGAAAGGCAATGTTTACTAGGTGCTCAATAGCAAATTTCATCTGAAAAAACTGGAGTCCAATAAAGCATAGTTTTCACCAATTGTTAATTTAGTAATTATTTCTTGCAACCAATACATAAACACCAAAAAGTTTAAGAAAATTCAGAAAGGATAAAAAACTGTAAAGGTGTTAATGCAGTGCTCAAGTAAAGATTTAGAGCCAGGCATGGTGGCTCATGTCTGTAACCCCAGCACTTTGAGAGGTTGAAGCAGGCAGATCACAAGGTCAGGAGTTCAAGACCAGCCTGGCCAACACAGTGAAACCCTATCTCTACTAAAAATAGAAAAATTAGCCAGGTGTGGTGGCACACACCTGTAGTCCTAGCTACTCAGGAGGCTGAGGCAGGAGAAACCTTTGGAGCCCAGGAGGCGGAGGATGCAGTGAGCCAAGACCGTGCCATTGCACTCCAGCCTGGGCAACAGAGCAAGACTCTGTCTCAAAAAAAAAAAAAAAAAA